TAGCACTGTAACATGCAATTTTATATGAAGAACAAGAAAAATGAATCATAATTAGAACTCCTCTGCTCTCTCCTCATGAAGGCACACCACTGCACCATAATGTATAGGGATCAACTTGATCTTGTTTGCCAAGCTAAGCAAGGATTAAGTAACATTTACTTTCTCAACTCAGGGTATTGACGGTGCTCGGGTGGAGAAAATTCTTGATATGACATCCATTACTCTGAATAAGAATTCAGTACCTGGTCAGTTTATACCATGCAACTTCATCATTTGTATGTTTGTCCTTTTTTATGTTTTTTCCAATTTTTTTCCTTTCTACTTACTCATTACTCTAACCATTGCAGGTGATAAAAGCGCACTAGTCCCAGGTGGCATACGCATAGGGAAACCTGCTATGACTACCAGAGGTTTCAACGAAGATGAATTCATGTCAACCGCAGATTTCATTCACGAGGGTGTTCAGATTGCTCTTGAAGCAAAACGATCTGCTCCAAGTTCTAAGCTCCAAGATTTCATAAAATTTGTAGCATCTCCAGATTTTCCTTTTACGGATCGGGTGTTAGATCTGCAAAGAAGAGTTGAGGCAATGACAACCAAGTTCCCATTGCCTGGTTTACGAGGGATTTAGTTGGACTTGAACAGTTCACATTCTTCATAAGAAAACAGGGATGAACTTGCCCAATGTTGTAAGGGCTGCGTTGTTAGAATGGCGTAATTAAGAATCTTAGATTATGGATTTTGGATATTGGGTTAACAATGGTTACAAGCTATTTTGTGTATACTAAGAGTATTGCTTATCGTGAGAATAATTTTGTGGAAACAAAAGTATTTGGAGTCATCTACCCTCTCTCTCATTTATCAGAACTGGCAAGTTCTTATTTTAGTTTACGAGAATTCTATTTGGATTTAATTTAGGGACTTAATTCAATGTAACCATTGAATCAAAAATGGGTTTTAAACTAAGATTGGAATTTACCAATAATTCTTGCATTGAATTAGATTCGATTAGGTCCATATAGTGTTGCTCATTTAGTTTAAGCCGGGGGTATTTGAACCTAATAAAAGTAGAGGTAATTGAGCTCCAATAAAGCGAACCTCTAAAATTATTATTATTATTTTTTTTTAGGTGTTCAAACGTGCGTTAACGATCCTGTTTATACGTAATTTCCTATTACTTTCTTTGTACATAATTCGCTAGAGAAGAAAGATGGTTTTGTAAAAAAATATTTTTGAAGTTAGAGAATATTTATTTATGATTAGAGATTTGGTAAAATGTTTTTGAAGTTAGAGAATATTTATTTATGATTAGAGATTTGTTTGTACTTAAAAGCATGATTGATTTTATATAGTACTCTCGAACTCGATTTGAAATTGACATAAAATTAATAAATTTGATTTTATGTTAGCTTATTTGAATGATAAATAGATGAACATATTAATCTTGTCAAATAAATGATAGAGATAAATTTAATTAAAAATAATTTGAATATGCCAAACATGATTTATATACAACACAAATTTGATACAATACAAGCTCAGTGATATACGACTTTAACTAGTGTTTGTTGAACAAATATTGACACAACACGATTTAAACACAAAAAATCTGGCACAATAAAATCCATTGCCAACTAAATTTGGCAGAAATTAATGAACACTAAAATTGAAAGAATTTAAATTCCTTGAATTTCTGAAACAGTTTTTTGTTCTCAAAATTTAAAAACACTCAAAACCTGTTTGTTTAGCATTTTTGTTCTCTAAATTTGGAAAAAAAATGAGATTTGAGTCAAAGAAACAGAAAATAAGTGTAACTTGTCTTCAGAGTTTTCTTTGAAAATTTTGGAAATAAGAAGAACAATATATATACATATATACACACACACACAATATATATAAATAAATAAATATATATATATATATATGGGTATATATATTTATTTATTTAGTTATATATATGTATATTTATACATGTATATATAAAAACATATATACGTATATATATATTGTGTGTGAGGGGTGTATATATATATATATATATATATTATTAAAGTTTGGTTTATTGAATTTGTCAATCTAAAAATATTTTTTTTATATTTTTTTATTAATATTTGAATTACTGTTCAAATATATATTTAGGCTATCCAAACAGGTTTCACTATTTTCTGTATTGTAAAATTGTTTTTGAAATCATCTAATCAAATAAGTTTTTTATCTCAAAAAATATCAAAACCACTTTCTTAAAATTTTTCTCAAAAATTATTTTCGGATACTATTTTTTGAAACTCAAACCAAACAGGCCCGATATTTTATTAGTTTTTTTGTTCTTCAATTTTTGAAAATTTTTGGGAATTGAAGTATGATTTTAGAAAACAATAAAATAGTGCTCTCACTATTTTCTAAAGCAAAATGAAAACATGGGTTCATCTCCAAATTAATGAGGTCTTCCCTTAAAGTTTGTTGGAAACAAAATATGGTGACTGAAACTTCTTCTCCATCGCTTGCTCACAACTTTCCCTCTCTCCCTCCTTCTCTCTCTAATTTAGCATCAAATCTGTGCATGTCTGTGTGCGTAAGTGAATGTATATACACAAATTGCGAACACCTGTAGCATACTCTCTCTCATGCGACTCATTTACTCTTTCTCTATCTGTCTCAATGGGCAACATATGTGAGTGTGTGGGTTTTGTGGGGATCTATGTGTGTGCGCGCGTGATGGTTGTGTTGTTTGCTGTATGTGTGGGTGTGTGTTTGTTGTATGTGTGGGTGTGTGTTTGTTGGGTGAGAAGATAATGGAGAGAGAGAGAGAAAGATTTTTATAGTGATATATGTTTTTTTTTAGGGCAGTGATAAGTTAAAAATTAATTTTATGGATCATTATCTAAGCAGGTTTTTTTATTTTTTATTTTTTAAAATTATTTTTAAATAAATAAGTTTTGTAATATAAAAATATCAAAAAATATTTTTTTAAAACTTTTCTTAAAAATTATTTTCAGATATTGTTTTTAGAGATACTAATCAAACAGGGCCGAAAAATTCCTATGGGCCTTTGTTCAAGTGATAAAGGGGCCACAGGTTGTGTTGGGTAACTTTTACTGAGCCCAAGTAAAGCCCACTTGGGCCTCATCATCTTCCTTTTCTCTCGGTCTCTCCTACGAAATTTCTTCACTCGAAGTAACCAGCAGAACAGAATCACAGAATGCTAGGGTTTTAGAGAGGACGTTCTTCTCCAAGTTCCTGCAGCAAAGCTCACAGAAGGTTACTACCTAAACCAAACCCTAATTTCCTGTCTTCTAATCTTAGAAATCATTTTGATTGCAACGAAAATATGGTTTTTGTTTTCCGGAAACATTTTCTTTTGCTTTATAAAACTAAGATGTGCGTACTTTTAGCATTCAAAAGTAGGAGATTTGAAGCCATTTTTTCAATTCATATATTTTTTTTTGTTTAGTTCACCTTTTGTCTGGTTGCTGAGAAAGCTAATGGGAAAATGTAAAAAACAAAAACCATGTTTTGTGTTGCTATGTTGCTTAGCTGAGCGGAATAGTTTTAGGAGGTTCAATTGAATAGAGCTTTTTATTTAAGAGTTTCCTTTATTTTCCTGCACTTCTCAGCAACCATGCATTTTTTTTTTCTTTCGATCTTGTATAATTATTCTGATCACATAAAAAACCACTTGATTTTGCATATTTCTAGTCATGGGCAAAAAGGGATTGTCGAAAAAATCTGCAAGAGTGCCCAAGAGCTCTGCTGTGGAGCAGGAGAAAGCCTCTTCATCTACACCCAAAGAGGCTGGTAGTGATTCTTTGTCTGGACCCAAAAAAGCTGCTAATGACTCTTCGCCTACACCCAAAAAAGCTGGTAATGAGGTTGACAAAATCTTTGCCGTCAAGAAGAGGAAGAACCGGGAACAGGAAAAGGCCGAGAAGCCGGCAGAAGATGCGTCTGCAAAAGGTAAGAAATTGAAGAGAAAGAAAAATAAGAAAAAAGATCCCATAGAAAGCAATGGGTTTGTGGGTGAGACAACTCAGCCAATGAAGAGAACTGGGGATGGGCTATCTCTATATACAGAAGAGGAGTTGGGGATTGGGAATGCAAATGCTGGAGGTACCCCTCTTTGTCCCTTTGATTGTGATTTCTGTTTCTGGTCCGGAGACTCATCTTTATTCATTGTAAGTTGCTTCCTTGTGATGAAGTTTTGGAAGTCCTGGGAAAATTGTTAGTTTTGTAATTCAATATTACAGTTTTGGTGTTTCAGTTTGTGAGGTTTCATGTGTGGTTTTCCTTTTTCAAATTGTAAACTAGGTCCAGTGTACAAGAAATTCGGCTAGAATACAACTATACAAGTCTAAAAATTATCGATCTGATGATTGAATCCATTAGTATTCTGGACGTGATTATTTGCAACTACTTCAGTGAATATTTTCGTGATTTTTGAGAAACTAGTTATGCAGCAGTTGCAGTGTCTCTGTTGATATTATATTTGGATGACTTCATTTTAGAGCGACTACATTTTGTTTGGAAGTTTACAATAGTGCATTCATTGCTTTCACTTGGTGTGGGATGGTTTTGCAAAATTTGAGACACATTTAAAACAATATTGTTCTTGTATGTTATGTGATGCCTTAAAATTATTGGCCAAAGTCCTTCATTCATGCAAGTAATCAGGTCGATCTTAGGGATGTAGTTGTAAGTACAAACACATAATGGTAGGAGCCTAGGAGGAAATCTGTCTTGTAGATTGGAACCCTAATGATTATGTGTTGTGGATGTTGCTTTTATGAAGCTTGATTTATCTTAATTCTTGAGTTCATGTAGATTCTTCAAAAATGCTAATAGTTCGTTTTATGATGAGATACATGCTGAATATGGTTATCACTCTAGCTCGTGGGAGCTAAAGTCCATGAACCATGTTATGAAGTTACGTAATGTGAGGCTATATTTTGTTTCTCCTTTATTTGGCTTCTTCTAGGATAGAAATTACACTCGGATCACTACTACTCTGTTGTGGTATTTATCATGGAATTTCCACGATCAGGTAGAACCCAACAGTTGTGAAATTCTGTAGAAATTTGATCCAGTCACTGCTTAAGTTTGTAGTGGAAGAAGAAAGCTTTTAAGGCATCAAATGGATTAAAGAGAAAAAGGGGGAAGGGGGGGGGGGAGAGGCTTTTGGAGATGTTTTTAATATCATGTGATTGCATTCTTTGTTGTCCAATACGTTTTTGAATTTCTTCCCCATTTACCATATGTTTTAATCTTTTTACCTATTCTACCCTACTTTGAATCTTATTTCTCAACCTACCTTAGTTTTAAAAGCGTGTTTTTAAAGGCACACGTATTGTAGTAAAAGTGTGTTTTCAAAACATGTCTTTAGTCAAAATTCGCTTCTACTCATCTTTGATTCGGCCAGTCTCACTAGTTCCAGCATTGGATGACAAGGGGTTGTGGGTCATTGACTCTTCTGGCATTTTCGCGTAAATATTATTTCCACTTGTTGACTGATAACCCACCTTCTTCAATTTTTGAGCCCCATTGGATGATTTGGAAGGTAAAAGTGTTTGTTAAGGTGCAAATGTGTGATTTGAAGGTGGCTGCTCACTGTAAGATTAATACCTATGATTTATTTCAAGCTGAAGACCGAATATTTGTCTTTCTCCTCGACTGTGCGTTATGTGCAGGATGAATTGTAAAAGTGTGGGTCATCTATTTATCTATTGTCCTATGGCTTTGAACTTATGGAATAAGCTTATAAAGAGTTTACCTTGAGTTGGGTAACTCCCAAGAGATTGTGTTTAGTGTGGGACTGTGGTTATGACGATTACTTCGAATGACAATACACATCCAGTAAATGTTTCCAAACGTATTTCAAAATGTAACTATGGTGCTATCTGGATGCTTGTTGTGCCATTGCAATTCACGAGGTCACATTAGCACCCGAAGTTCACCTACTATATCATGAAGACTATTAGGATAAGTTGACTGGTCCTAATTGCGCCCAAACCCTGCTTTATGCCAAATGATGGATTGTCTGCAATCGATTGCATACAAAATGAGATGGATTTTAGAGAAAGACATACAACAAATCGATGCAGCTTGTGTGAGCAAATGGTTCATGATTGATGAACCTGTCCAGCAAGAGATCAGCAAGCCCCGGGTTGGGATCAGTGATTGTACCGGTGATATTGATTTTTATTTGAGTTTTTCTGTAATGTTTAAGTTCAGTCAATGTACCAAGTTGTAAACGTTGTATTATTCAATGTGTAATGTATAATGCTTTGTAATTATGTCTGTCACCATGATATTATTCTTAATTTTGTTAATTCATACTAGATATGGAGCATCAGCTGGCTCGTGACTTGGTCCACGCTGGACCTATTGATCTGTCAGTTTTGTACTTACAAGCAGAGCATCGGTCTACTACTATATGGGATGGACAGGCATGTTAATTGCATCAATAATTCCCATCTCAAAACTATTTAGCTTCATCATATACATGCTCATAAATACATTGAAAACTTATACACAAACTCATATTTGTTGTAGGACCTTCCACCGTTGCAGTGTCGTCGATCTGAGGCTACGTTACGCCGCTTACACGCTCCTGATGACAGGGTTTTACGTCGTGTATTGAGGGCTGGATTTTATGGCATTCATCGGATTGGTTTTATTCGTCTTGATTGGCACTTGGTGACTGCACTTATTGAGAGATGGAGAGTTGAGACTCATACGTTTCACCTTCCCGTTGGCGAGGCCACTATCACGTTACAGGACATTGCTGTACTATTGGGGCTTCCCATTGACGGTGCGCCAGTCACGGGTGATGATGCACAGCGCAGCGTGTCACAGTGGCAGGACATATGCGAGCGCTTATTGGGCTTCAGACCACCAGAGACTGCCATTGAGGGCTCCAGACTTAGGATGAGTGTGTTGGGTGCTCGTTTTGCTGCTCCCATACCTCAGGATGCTGATGACGTAACTGTGGATCGTTACGCCCGGGCATACATTTTGCTGTTGATTGGGGGATGCCTGTTTGCTGACAAGTCTCAAAATAAGGTGCAACTTATGTTCTTACAGCATCTGGAGGACCTAGATGATACGGGGAAGCTTAGTTGGGGCAGTGCAGCATTAGCTTGCCTATACCGTGAGATGTGTCGGGCCACTGCACCAGATTCGTCAGACATTGGAGGACCGCTTATTCTGTTACAGGTATTGGTTGTAGTGTCATTTATAATTTGAGTATCATTGGTACATTAGTGTGAAACATCTTTAGTGACTTATGTATCATTACTTTGCGTTGTAATAGTTATGGGCGTGGGAGCGACTCACTCATATCCGTCCAGATAGAGTAGTCCCACAACAACAGATTACATCACCAGCAGTACCTCATGATACACCGGATGAGGTAGATGTTACTGCTTCAGCACCATTTGTAGATGCCCATGTGCATGGCATGGCAAACGAAAATGATCCATTACCTGTTGGTCCATTGGGTTGCAGGTATAGTTATTGATTTAACTTTTTCAAGTGTTGTGTGCAAGTATAATAATCTGTAATATTCTCAATTGGTCTAGGTGGCATGTATCTATGTCTGATGTTCGCACGCCGAGGCACGTGCTTAGGTATTATAGAGACCAACTTGATCAAATGCGCAATGATCAGGTAGGTGATCACACTAATTTTTTTCCAAACATTTCAATATTGGACTTTCAATGATGACTTACATGTTATGTGGATTGTTGTTATTTGTAGATGATATGGCAGCCATACAATAAAGAAGTCCTAGCATTGTTACCGCTATACTGTCTGAGTGGTCAAGACATGTGGATGACACGATCACCACTTATCTGTTTTGCTGTTGTTGAGTGGCATTTCCCAGATCGAGTTATGCGACAGTTTGGCCTTAAGCAAGGTATACCAGAGGCATGTGACACTGGTAAGGAGCTTCATGCTACGGACAGACGTGGGCGGTCCGGTTGTGATTGGAGAGCTGCTCATCGATCCTTCGTTGATAAATGGGAGCAACGTAGGGAGCATATTGTTACGGGAGAGGCATTACATCATCCAATCGATTTGCATGACCCCTACATGGTGTGGTACAACAGTATTACACGTCGACTTATTGGCCCTCCGATTGATAGGCCAGGCGTTGGATTCCAACCGATGGCTAGCATCATCGAATTGCTGGTATTCTATTGAAAACAAGCCTATTATTTATATGATTAGTGTAAAATATCTTATTTGATTATTTACATTTTTTATTTTACTACACACAGGAGCGTACGATCACACACATGTGCAACAGTGCACAAGATGCACTTGAGGGTGGTACGGATGTGACACATTATGTGCAGGCACTTCAGAATGTACGAGCACTTGGCTCTACTTGCTTGGAGGCTATTGGAGAGCAGCACCGTCTAGATCATCGATGTGTACCCATTCCACATGCATTGACCCCTATGCCAAAGGGTCAAAAACTACCACGACTGAGACGTCGCCAGCAGACGTAGCCACATGTTACCCCAGATGTTGAAGCGGCCACAGCCGATTTAGCACATCGCCTATCCATGACTGACATGCCACGACAACACAATGATAGCTTCTTTTTCAGACTGTACTGCATAGTACTACGCCCTGATTTGCCCATCTTCGACGCAGGCCTATTGACATTTTCTTTACATGATAGTTCTCCAGGTATGTTGCCCTACAGTGCCTACAATGTCGGATACACCACTGAAATTGCCACGATATGCACCAAAAGGTATCCATATCGAGGATGAGGCCCCTATGGAGAGAGTGACACCTCGATGCACTTACATTTGCTTGTGTGTACCATTGTAGAAATGGTTGCAGTAGCTGAGATCGCGGTCAGAGACAGGGTGCAGATACTGTGTTTGGTCCGAGTACAGTTCCACATCGTCCATGCAGTGGCCTTTCCACGCCCCAGTCATGGAGGTCGGAGACAGTGTGACAACTCACAAGTCATTTAGGGGACTATCAGAGCTAACTAGGACCGATGCTCCAGTCTCAATGCCCTAAATGACGGGAAGAAACCAGCTTGTGGTACATAGGTTTATTTCCCATTTTACTTTGTAATATAACTATAGTAGACATGTCTGCACATATGCAAATTACAGTTTGGGGCATTCTTTTGAACTTGTTTTAGTTTCTATTGTTACTGTTATTTGTTTGCATGTTTATTGGCATGTAAATTCTGACTTACAGGGAATTGGTCAAGTGTTTTAGTTGTGATCGATTTTAGGTTGAGGACAAACAGGGTCAGCGGGTTGTGGACATAATAACTAAAGGCGTGTTTTCTAAAATCGCCTTTCATTAAAGCTGTGTTTCAGAAATATGCTTGTAACCCATACTTTAAATTGAAAAACGTTCTTACCACAAGCATGGTTCTCTCCGTCTCTGTCTGTCTCTTACGCCTCCCTCCACACACAAACGTAATAATACACACGCACTCTAGCGCATGAGAATCGTAAGGAATGTGGTTCTGAGATCAACTTTTTTTTTTAAATCCTTTTTAATGAAAGGAAATGATAAAATAAAACGAGCAAATACCTATTCGATTCATTTTTTTTTTCGAGCATCAGGTTTACAGCGTGTTTTGGCATTTTAGTATGCTGCAAGAATTTTGGGCAGGCAGTGGAACGGCAATGTTTGACCCGAGACATGTTAACACTGCATGAAATTTGTGAATTACGACTAACGCATATTACAAACTCGAAGATAACACGACCCTCTAATAAAATAATAAATAAGTCAGAGTAATGTTGAATATGAATAATTCGATTATGACATGAAAAATCATTTAACAATTATTATATGACAAAAAAAAATGTGTCCTATTTATTTATTTCTCTATTTTTAGAAGGTGTTGTATAAATGCTTTTAGATTCAAATGATTTATTTACTAGATTTAGCATATGAATCGACTGAATTTTAGTTTACAGAGACCCGTGGATTGTGGATTCAGTATAGAAAAATGGTTTAAATTTTTCACGGCTGTCTTGTAAACCATTTTTGACACCTTTACAGCCACCATGCAATGCAAACAATAAAAAGTCTTGAGTCATGCAGAATAATCGATGTGGTGCATAGTAAGACAACTATGCGGTTAACCTTGATTAAATTTGAGTGGGTCCCAACAAGAAAGGCTTACAGCCCAAAGGAACAGAAAAATAAAGGAAAAAAATCAGAGGACTCCGGCTTTCATCTTGGGTTTTTACATGAAATTGGAAGAGGGGTTTCAAGAAAAAGACGAGCATGTTATTTGACGGGATTTTAAGTGGTTCAGCAGTTATAACTTGACACGTGAATAGTTATAGCCGTTATGAATTAAAGACGCCGATAAGACATGGTATAAAAATACCGAACACCACTTATCGGGTCCAACATTAAAAAAAATATGACAACTCATTAATGACAATTTGAGTGATTATAACAGGGTCTTTAATGGGTCTCGTTGCCCTTGAGACCCTCAAAGACATTCATCATTACAATGATAAAAAATCACTGAAATTATTCTAGGTTCTATTTTTGTGAATTGTCTCTTTTGGTTTGGGTTTAATTTCGCCTCATTTATCTTTTTTTATTAGAAATAAGTGTCAAGTTTTTTCTTGATTTGAGTCTCGGTTTTATACACAAAAAAAAAGTCTCAGTTTTGACATTGACCTTTTTATGAATTATGACTTTGTTCCCGTTGTAGGATACAAAAAGGAGGTGCATAGAGTAGTTCCCGTAGGTGGTCTCACTTTTTTTTGTCTATCCCTATGTTTTTGTCCTTATGGCCTTAAAAGGTTATGCCGCAAACTACTAGCCTACAAAGTTACAAATCAAGGACCTATCACCAAATTTCAATTCTTTTTTACTTTTATTTTTAATGTTTTTCCTAGCTAAAAATTTTCTAACGTTGGATGAATAAATCACGTCACTTCAGATCAATTTTTTTCAAACATATATTATTCACCTTACCCCCGCCCCGTTGTGATTCTTATTATTATTATTTTATATGTATATATATACATACATATATGTTACTGTAAATACAAATACAAGATGAATAATATATCTTTAAAAAAAATTGTAGTAAGTGATGTGAACACCCCACAATTTCTTATTTCTTATATAACATCTGCTTATAAAATTCTTACTTACGAAACACCGACCGATTATGCGAATGAATACATTAGAATTGAAAAAAACACTGTTATACAGGGTCTAAAAAGATTTATAAAAACTGTTATTACAGTGTTTAGCAACTATTACCTGAAATTACCAAACAATAGTAATATTACTCAATTGCTATAGACAATAGAACAACATAATATCACTCGATTGCTATAGACAGGAGAACAACGTGACTTTCCCAGCGTGTAAAGAAATATTGATAGAAACGTGCATAATATAATCATTGAGGATAAATAGGATTTGATAACAATAACTTTGATGAATGTAATGCAAATTCGTCAATAGAAGTGTTACATGTGTATACACCAGAATTGAAAAACTTCATGCAAATTCATTGTCAAATCAAAGACAATGCAACTCATTTTCAATTGCAGTTAAATGTCAGATCTTATCGAGCATCAAGCATTTGTTACAACAACATAGCAAATAATAATTTTTTAAATTTCAATTTCAATTTGCATTTTCAATAATGACTAAAAATTAAAAAATAATATTAACATAATAAATAACAACTAAAAATTAAAACACCATTTTTTCATAATCTCTATTTTCAAGTTATTTCAATATGTTACAAAAATTAAATCCATCCTAATAGTGTCAATTTTCATAATTTTCATTTCATTCTACATTTTAATCTCTTGCAGGTGCCTTCTTTAATTTTTAATTGTCAACTATATTACTCCAATACTATCTTTTATTAAGCATAAATTGTTGTATCATTCAATTTTTTGTTGCTCCACTTCTGCTCTTTGATTCCATTGATTATAATCTAATAATGCTTTAACACCAATTTGCTTGTTTTTATCAAAATTGTGAATGGTTGAGAATTCAATGTCATTTCTTAAATATAGAGTTGAATAGCAAAATTTAACATGATTTGATGCAACAACACAACCAATTGAATGAATTTTTGCTATCTTATTATTGATGAAATTATCGGTCCATTTTCAATATATTTTAACAATGCTCATATTGAAAAGACATTCCAATGATCTAAACAAACATTTATTTTACTTCATCAACCTAAAAAAAAAATGAAATCATTAAATCAATAATTCAAATATCAAATCATATCTATCTAAAAAAAATTTAATTATTTTGCTTAACATGTCCACTTTATGGCAATCTTTCAATTTTGACTATAAAAATCATAATTTTAAAACCCGGCCCAAACATCAACCCAATAAACAGACCGGATTGTCAATAGATTACTGGTCAAACCAGTTATATAATAAAAAAAATATTAATAACAATAAATTTGCTAAAAATTTATAATAATTATTCAAATAACATGTTTAATCTATATGGAGAGGCAAGGGATACAAAGGCAGGGAGAAGTGAAGGGCCTTTTGTAGAAAGATGACTCGTTTTTGCAGCACTGTATAATTGTTTTTGTAACTTCAATTCAGCAGGAATAGGGCAATGGACGGTTCTCAAAGTCTTTTTGGTTATATTTAATATAAATCATCCACCTTGAATTAATAGAGAATTTCTCACATACAATAACCCAAAAAAGACAAAAAGAAAAATATATCACAATTTAATTTGCAAGTCAGAATATCAATAAGCCTCAGTAGTTTGAGCTCATAGAGGAATTTAGCTCTCACACATCTAATAATCTTCATCATTCTTGCCACCAACCCATATATAAAAAAATCTTCATATTTTTCAATACCAATGTTTTCAAAGTATTTTCTTTGGTCAAAAAAACAAATAAAACTCCATAAAAGAGGAATAAAATACAAAAATCAAAGAAAGATATGAATATACCCCACCGAAAATTTGAGGCATTTACAAAGTACTTTTCAACCTGATTACCCAATTATTTCAACCAACAACAGATAAAAAAAACTATGATTATCCGAGGGTTCACGTAAATAGGAAAATACAGATCGAAAAAGGAAAAAAAATGCCTCAAGAGTAGAGAGAATCAGGAGGGACAAAGAGGTTACTCGAAAGGAAAACCCTCAAGAGAAACCTCATAAAATATATGCAAATACATATATATATGGTTGATATAGCGCAGCTATGACTCAAAACGCTTCCATGGATGAACGTGAAAGTCGATCTTAAGGGCTGCGCATATATATAATTAAGTATGATACATAGTTTGTAAGACAAAAAACAATTTGCTCTACCTTCTGCAAGTAAACTCACGCTTTCTACATCTCTTAGCAACCTCTAGGCCACAATGATCTGCAATCACCTATCAGACACAGCATTTTTCAAAACAAAAGACCAACAGAACTAATGTTTGTCCAATCCTCGTTGCTCGAAAAGACAATGATCTATAAGATTGGATTTGCAAGACACTAGCAACAAACAAACTTCACCCAAATCTATTAGTACATTGTATGCTATTCTTTAACAACGGGTAGAGAAGTCCTTCAAGACAAGAGAAGTTGGTAGGAAAAATGCTCAGAAGCCAAGCGTAAGAGTATTTCATTGACGATACAACACAAAGTTGAATCTTCTTATATTTTGGCAATTCATCACTGCACAAGTCTTCACTGTGGTTGATGTGTACAAATAATGAAATCTTATTCAATTATTGGCACATGCCAAACACAGGATTAAACTTGAAAATTATGTAGGTATATATAAAGGTTAAAAAATGCAATTTATAACAAAGGCCACAATCAAGGAAAATAGCGCTTTAGGTTTCACCTTTGATTGATTTCTTGTGATTACTTAAAAAAAAAATAGTTCAGGTTCAATCTTTGCTTAACAAAGCTTCCCTCTCTACCAAATTTTGCTCACCAAATGACATAACACATTCACCCCAATGAGA